TTATTAGTATAATATTATAATTTAAATCCAAACCTTTATGAGAAAGAAGTACTAATATCATATATTACCTTATTCAATCATCATTTTAACTGACTTTTCTTCTATCTATATATTAGAGGAAAAATAAATATATTTCTTATATGGTAAGATTACTTTAGCTGAATTAATTATTCCAATATATTTTAAGTAATCTTTTCTAAATAAAGTATAAAACTTATCACAAGCTATAACATACTTTTTTTATCACCGGTTGAAATGGATATAAATTGGCTAAAAATCAGACAGATGATTAATGGATGATTTATAGCTGATTTAGGGCTAATTTGCATTAATTCTGATTAACACAATATGAGTCAATCAGAAATATCAATCAGTCATCAATCGGCTATCTAAAATTGGCCTAAAAATCACCTAAATTTGATCATCAATTAACCTAAATCAGCTTAAAATCAGCCAAGCAAATCAGAATTAAAAATAACTAATTAATATTTATTTAAATTTTATTAATTTTATAATTTTATTATTTTTTCATAATTATTGTGATTTTTTTAAGAAAAATAAAGAATAATTAAAAATTCACTTCAAAAGTTTACTTCAATTAACCTATATAAGATTTATTTATAAAAAAATAAAGTAAAATAAAGAAATAAGTTAAAAATTCCTTCTTAAAATTACCTTTGATTGACTTATTATAGTGTATTCCTAAAGAATATAAAGAAAAATAAAGAAAAAGGATAAAAAATCCAAACAAAAGTCACCATTGATTTACTTACCAAGATGTGAAATTTCCCAAAAAGTCATTAACGATTTGCTTACCTTAATTTCAAAATGTGAAATTTCCTAAAAAAAAAATAAGAAAAAGAAAGAAAAATGATAAATTTTCACCTAAAAAGTCATCAACGATTTGCTTACTTTAATTCCAAGATGAAAACTTCCTAAAAAATATAAGAAAAAAAAAAGGAAATGGTAAATTTTCTCACTAACAATTTGCTTACCTTAATTTCAAGATGTGAAATTTCCTAAAAAAAATGTAAATTTTCATCCAAAAAGTCATCAACAATTTGCTTACCTTAATTATAAGATGAGAAATACCTAAAAAAAATAAGAAAAATAGTAAATTTTCACCAAAAAATTATTAACAATTTACTTACATTAATCCAAGATAAAAAATTTCTTGCCAAAATGAGAAAAAGAAAGGAAAATAGTAAATTTTCACCTAAAAAGTCACCAACAATTTGCTTATCTTAATTTCAAGATGAAAATTTCCTAAAAAAATAAGAAAAAAGAAAAAGAAAATAATAATTTTCACCAAAAAATCATCAACGATTTGCTTACCTTAATTACAAGATAATTTTTCTAAAAAAAAGAAAAAGAAGGGAAATCTACCTAAAAGTCACTTCTGATTTACATTTCTTATTTTTAAAAATGAAAAATTTTTTAGAAAGACAAGAAATCTAGAATAAAAAATCCGCCCAAAACTTGCTTCCGATTTACTTATCTTATTTCCAAATGAGAATTTTCCTACAAAAATAAGAAAAAAAAAAGAAAAATCCACCCAAAAACTTATTTCCGATTTACTTATTTTAAAATGAAAATTTTTCTAAAAAAAAACAAGAAAAAATAAGGAAAATAATAAATTTTCACCTAAAGAATGATTTATCATATTTTCGAAATGAGAATTTTCCTAAAAAAAATGGTAAAAATCTTCAAGATAAGAAAAAAATACAGAAAAAAGAAAGGAAAAGGGTTAAAAAAAAGGAAAATTTTTTTTGGATTAATCTGAAAGTTTTTTAGCCAATTGGATGATTTTTGTATTATCCAATTGAAACATCATTTCTATTGAATAATTTGTATCGTCTCTTAGGAGACAATGATTTGATCGATAGTGTATTGTCCTAAAGGAATGATAGTTTGATCATTTCAATTAAATGATTTTGTATCATCTGATTGGAACAATGTTGAATCATTCAAATCGAATCAAAAAGAATAATATTGAATTATTCTTAATGAACGATGTTGAATCATTCTTAATGAATGATCATCATTTCAAAAGGAACGATTTTTATCTTTCAAATCAAATGATAATCGTTCCAAAAGAAATGATATTGAATTGTTCTTAATGAACGATAATCATTCCAATAGGAATGATTTTTTTATTGTTCAAATCGAACGATCATTATTCCAAAAGAAATGATTTTTATTGTTTAAATTGAACGATAATCGTTCCAAAAGGAACGATGTTAAATTATTCTTAATTAACGATGATCTATTGTCACAGAATGATGATTTTTTAAATTGTTTTTAATGAATAATGATGTATCATCCTTTTAGGACAATTTTTTTGATCATTTAATAAGAACGATGATCTATCGTCCCAAAAGGACGATTTTTAATCATTCTTATTAAAATGATAAATCTATCATCCCTTTGGGACGATTTTTTAAATCGTTCAATAAGAATGATGATTTATCATTCCAAAAGGATGATTTTTTAATTGTTCTTAATGAACGATGATGTATCGTCCCTTTGTGACAATTTTTTTGATTGTTCAATAAAACTGATGATCTATCGTTCCAAAAGGACGATTTTTAATCATTCTTATTGAAACGATTTTTTAAAATGTTCTTAATGAATGATGATGTATCGTTCCTTTAGAATGATTTTTAAATTGTTCTTAATGAACGATAATGTATCGTCTCTTTAGAACAATTTTTTGATCGTTCAATAAGAATGATGATCTATTGTCCTTTTGAGATGATTTATTTAAATCGTTTTTCATGAATGATGATCTATTGTCCCTTTAGGACGATTTTTAATCATTCTTATTGAAACGATAGATTTATCGTCCTTTTGGGATGATTTTTTTAAATTGTTCTTCTTGAATAGTAATATATCGTTCCAAAAGGAACGATTATCTTTATCATTTTTTAGAATTGATTTGTATCTTCTTTTAAGGACAATTTTTATTGTTCCTTTGGGACAAAGTTTCCAATCAGACGATTTTTGCATTATCTGATTAAACCAATTGGAATTGAAATTTTAGCTTAACTCCAATCGATCATAAATCAGACAGGTTGATTTAGGTTAATTTTTAGCTGATTGATGATTATGTCTAAAGATGGTACAGCAATTGATTTCAAATTTACAAAATGTTGCAACATAAGCTAAAATTAGTTGCAACATATATAGGTTAAAACTAATTGCAACGTAAGTTGCAACATTAAAAGTTACAATATATTAATTACAGTTCCCATCTTTAATTATGTCTGATTGACAAATAATTGATTGACAATTTATCACATGTCCAATTTTTTTGATTTCGATCAGTATATATTTCAGGATTTATTACCATCTGTTCATATTTATTAGTTAAACCTAAAATCTCTTTCTATTAGGAATACCATCATTTCTTACTACTTGTTTTACCAAAAATTTGAGTCTCTTTTTGTAATTCCTATAAGCTTGCTGAATAACTATTGCATAAAAATTTCTAAAATTATATTTATAGTAGTATCTAGAAATCAAGAATCTTTAAGATCGCTTTTTAAATATTTTAAAAAACTTAGTTATAGATTAGAAAGTCTAATCCAGAATAGAATAGATCACAATATTTTATTCTGCTTCATATAAACCTACAAATAATACATTTTACAATTTCACTAGACGATCATGTATGCAGATTATATAAATTATATAAATTATATAATGGATAAATTATGAATATAGTTAAGATAAATAATATTATTATTTAGTTAAAAGATATTATCTCCTATTTACAATTTTGTAGAGAATTAAAATATTTTTTAGCATTAATTAAGATCTGATTCTTACATTTTTTTATAAAGAATCCTAGTACTTATTAATATTAATTAAGCTATAGAAGGTTAGTTTCTTTGGAATCGGTTAATGAATGTGATTTATCTTCAGTTTCAGCTTTGAAGCAAGAGTAATTTCAATAATTCTTCATTAAATCTTCAGACTCAACTTTATAAGCCTATCGCTTCCATCCATTATAATATACTTTATTTTGGTAATCTTCATCAATTTCTGCAAATAGCCATCTGACTTTTATGAACAATAGGTAGGTCTCTGATACTTATGTAAAATATCTATTATTTTATCACTAATATGGTCATAGAATGTCTTGGTTATTCCTTTCCCAAATGATCCAAAAAAGCAGAACACATGATAAAGACTATATTCTCTAGAAGAAAGCAACTCTTGCAAAGGAGCTCTTATATGATCAGCCCACTGTTGTGGTGTTTCATAAGGTCTAATAATGGATAAATAATCATATTGCTTTTCTATTTCAACCACTTTTTCAAACCAATTGTCATCAGTATAATAATGACAGTTTTATTATAAATCTTATCTAAAATGATCTTAACAGTTGCTCCGGGCATATTTATTACCAAATTAGTGATTTATATCAATTTATGCGTTTTTAACTGAATTTTAGCGATTTATAGCAGATTGTATCAAGTATATTATAATAAAATATTGGATTCATTTCTTCGATTACAAGCAAACCGTGAATTTATATAGGGTTATTCACATGCATGTAGATTGGTTTGTGGATCCCTCGTGATGAGGAAGTGCCCATATAGTTCTAAATTTCTAGATTATGAAAAACCGTTCTCTCAGGGAACGAACAGAATCATGTGACTTCGCGCGATGGACAAGAAAAAAATTTGGATTGATGTCGGTGCAACTGGCATATAACCCATTTTTTTTTTTAACTCACTCGCATATATTGGTTAAAAATCATTAGTCTAAATTGTATAAAAAAAAAAACATGTTTCAATGTAAAATTTATTTTTTATCGTTCACATATGAATGCTACTACAAATAATATATATTTTTTTGTTTTGAAATGCTACATTATGACTTAAAACATGAAATGCAGTTTCGAATTGAAAATTCGGGTGAGGTTGCTGGATGCTTAATCAGTTCTCTTATGACATCTGGATACTCTAAAATAGATACGATTACGAACTCCATCAATTCAAATATTTCAATGAATTGGAACCGGAAGTCCCAACTAAGTGAAAAACTGCAGATAATTCTTCTTCATCCTTATAGTCCCCTTTTCTTCTTAAAAATATTGTTCTAAGAGTTAGTCGATCTCCTATGATATAACAGTTAAAATAACAAATGAAAGTCTGTCCCTTGATCCAAATAATAGTTAAACAGAAAAAAAAGGCACTTATTCCTTGAATCGTTAGTGAACGAATTCTCTCTGCGAACCTTATGTCATAATTCAAATAGTTTAAAAGCATTGAGTTTAGGGAATCAATTCGTTCTTGAAGGTCTTATATGTATCTCTAATTGAGTGCACCTTTAAAAATTCTGTTTGAGCACCGCTCATTTCCAAAAAGACAACCTGCCGGCTGTTTGAAAGCCGGACTCCAATTATGTCTTTCATTCGATCTTTGTTGTAGTATTACCTTCGGTTACAAGCCGTTCATGTGTTGGTTCAATATCGTGTTTAATCCTATGGTTTACAATTAATATGCTTAGCTTTTGCTGATTGGTCTGTAATGGATACAATCTTACTTCTCATCCTATAGGGTCCTTTACAGTCCATAAGTACTTTTCCGATATACTTAATCATAATTTCTTCGAATTCATTTGCAGGTGTATATTGATACGTCAAAATTTTGATTCGGACTTTTCAATCGAAAACTGCAAAAAACAATAGAAAAAAAGAATAACAAAGCTCAGCTCATAAACGATTATTCAGCAGTTATTTCTTATAAATGGGTAGCTCTTTACTGACTTCCAGAATTCTTTCTAACCACTCATGCCAATCTATAGCTATGAATGGATTTTGATTATTCTGATCATCGTTCTCTGAACCTTCCGACTCATCTTCATAAGCTTTTGATCATCTTTCTCTAAACCTTCTGACTCATCTTCGAAAGTAACCTCAGCTTTTTGACCATCTTTTACTGGACCTTCTTCTGACCCAGATTCTTTTGACTCATCTTCGAAAACAACAACCATAGCTTTTTTGTAAAAGACACTTGCGGGTACATTTTTTTCATCTCCGGTTGGATAATCGGTTTGTTTGGTGTTATTGGATAATCACGCTTGCGTTTCTGACCATAATGACGACAATTATTAATAATAGAATTTAACAATAATACATATATTTAGGAACATACTTACTAAGGAGTGATAAGAAACCTCACGATTATAACTTCTTTGAATATTATGACACGCCATTACAGATATTGACGCTGATTTTTCCGCGACATACACACACCAGTCTTTATTGAAACTTCATTCTGCATAAAATAAATGTATTAAAATTCATATCATAAGAGGTAAATTATGTGTATCACATTCTCACTTCCATTTATTCTGAATTTCTTGAAATAATGCCATTCTCTCTTTGGGAATACTTTCTGATAATGTCAAAACGAATGAAAGAGCATCAAAATATGCGTTCGTAGCGACACGTTTCGTTTTACGATTCAGGTATCGATAAAATTCCAGTGGTTCAGGGTTGAACGCGACATCCATTCAATGATGGACTTAATTTTATCGGATAACTCGAAAGTGCAATATATACATATTTAGTCATGTTTTTTAATGAGAATTAGGAATAATAGTAAATATAGAAATCATATATAGAAAATCATGTAGTAAAAATCATGTAACGAATATTACGAAGTGAATTTTATTGAGAGTAGAACACCCTCTGAACACACTATAAGTTGTACTTTGAGGGAAGTTGATACGACCAGAAGTCTTACACGATGGGTTATGGTAGTAACTTATTGACTAGACTACCACAGTTTGCGATCAGTAGGGATGTTAAAGCCTGTGCTTGAACAGGTAAATAGATAAACTGCAGGTAACCAATAATATTTCATTGTATACTTTTTGATTTTGTATAATTCTCGTACAATAAAATATGATTGGTTATAATCACTTTCGTACAGTACATGCCTTTTCGATTTCAGGTTTAGCTATTTCAAAAACCAGAAATAGGTTAAATCCGGAAACAGCAAGGGTATGAAAAATTGGATTTCAGGGAATTAAAAAATTTATAGCAACGAAATATATTTTTTTTTTGTCAATTTTTGACATTGTATTTTTGTTTCTTTTTGTTAAATAAAATAATTGCGATATTTTGGTGGTTGTATTTTTTTGTTAATATCGAATGGTTTAAACTTCGGTCTATAAATCAGTCTACGGTTCGATTTTACTCTCAGACCGCCGAAAATCGAACCGAAACCGAACTGATCGAACCGTTAACATCCCTAACGATCAGGTGAATTGTATTGTACGAAAGAATATTAACGTTATAAGAATCGTACAGATGAAAAATTTTGCTAATAAAAAATTGAATCTCCTAATATACATTTAGGTATGATTTATGGGGTTAATTGTTTAATTAAAAAAGGCTAAGCCGATCATTACATAAACACAAGTACATAAATAATAGATTCATCATGACGTATTTTTTTGGTGATTGGTGATTTTTGTTGGTATAAAAAATAAATTTTTTCACGATATCATTTTTTTAAACTTTTTGTCAACGAACTATAAATTTCTTAACAAGATGACCAATGATTTATATTCAGTCGACTTCCTGTCATTAGACGTTCGTTCCAAAGATCTACACGAAAAAATTTCTAAAAGGCTTAAAGTTGAATATCTTACAGATTCCTATCATCAAGAATTGAAAGTAGTGAGTGGAATCATATTTGGACCTGATCTCAAAATCATTGTCTCTTTGCCCGTCAAAATAAAACAAAAAACAAAGAATGTACATTTCGTGGTAGACACGGGATCACCAAAAACGTTTGTCTGTGAGGAAGTATACGAATCCTTTAAAGTTACAATACCCGACTCAACCGTCCATCATATATTATTAAACAATAAACCTACTGTGGTTTACTTGCCTCCAATTAATTCAAACTTCATGGATATTAACGTTCTTGGAACTGAATATCTGAAAGCTGTGGGTGCAAATTTAACTGTGAATTTCGACAACGAATACGTTTCTATATCCTTTGAATATGATGAAATACGAATTCTTCCTCAATTAGGACAAATGGTGGAATCTAATATTTCAGTCGGAATAATTGGAGTGGGATTACTTACTGTGACTTTGTTTATTATTTTTAAAAAAAAGCCTTTCTTCTTTTTTGCGGTTGCAATTTTATTTTTATCTTATGATGCTTTTAATTACATACAAATGATTCAAGATAGATATTTTTAATAATTATCTATACCTCTTGTTCTTTTTCACCACATTTTCTATCATGAATGATTCCTATTGATTTAATATTAATTAGATATGAACTTTTTCTATGCATAATAGAATGAAATGCCTATCGTACCAAGGAACCAAATTGATTCATGCAATAGCTACAAATATATGTCTATAAACATGCAGTTTGAATTTTCAAGAACGAATTAGTTATTTTCTTTGATTTCTTAAAGTATATAATTTATACAATATTCCCAAAATACAACTTCAATATGATACTTGCATAGCTGTTGTAATAAGGAGATTCATCTAAAACTGAAATTATTCGGCTTGATATGATCATATAATATAAATGTAAATAAAATATTTAAAGATATAAATTTTTTAGAAAAATCAATTTTTTTTTAATAATATATTGATTTTTTATTACATTCAATTTTAATTTTTTAAAAAATTCTCAGAACCTGATTTTTCTAACAACCTTTTCATATAATAATAATGCATATATATTATCTTAACCAATTTTAGAATTTAATTTAATTAAGTTTTATCAATTTAATCATATAAGATCTTTGCAATAGAAAAAAAAAAGGAAAAAATTACCATAAAGTGGATTAGGAAGACATTGAAGATATTTTAAGGACTGTTTGATAAGAATATATTCAAATTCAGTATGGTGGCTATCACTTATAAACCGCACTAGTCCGAAATTTTGAATGGCGATTTCACGTGACTTTCACGTGACTTA